GAACCGCTGTTCCCGCGACTGTAAAAGGCGCGTCCTTTTTCCCCTTTCTACGTTTTCAAATCGAATCTCATCGACCAAAGCGGTTTTCAAATTCAATCTCATTAACTATAAAAGGCGCATCCGGTACAGAAACCAGGATGCTTTCAGTGACTATAAAAGGCTGCGTCCTTTTCCCCATGCGAGAGAGCAAAGAACGAAGGGCAGAGGAAGGCGATGAACAGTGTCATTATCCTTTTATTTTATTGTCAAAAAAAGTTACCTTTGATTATTTTATAAAAATATTATCTTTTATTTATCTGCAAAAAATCCACAAAAAAGATTAATTATAGCATGGGTCCTGTTTTTTCTACTTATAGTTTGTGGGCATAGGGGTGTCAATTGGAACGGATTTGGTCCAATCTGATCCAATCTAATGTGAATCCATTACAAATGGAGCAGGTCCAATTTAACTCTATAAATATTTTAATTTGAACCATTTTTGACCGGCCTAATTTAATGTCTGGACTGTCTAATTTGTTCAATTTTGTTTTAATTTAGATTAGTTCTGACTAAATATGGTCCATTGACACCTATATTCCTATCTTCTATCAATGGACTAAATATTGGCTCAATCAAATCCAATCCAATATAAATTTATTATGGATAAATCAGGTCCAATCCAATCGAAAAATTACTTCCAACTACTATAATTCAATGCTTTATTGGTCCGTCCAATCTATCTAAATTGATTTTAATTTGGATGAATCCACCCCAAAACCGGTCCATTGACACCCTAAGTGCGAATAGTTTGTGTTATTTGTTTGATTTGTTGTATTGTGTTTAAAAAACTCTGTTTGGACCGATAGAAAGGTTAAGGGGTACTCACCACTCAGCATCGGATTAAGACTGAAAATTTTTATTTTCAAGTTGATGTATGACTTGATTGCGTGTGCATAGGTGAAGTGTTCGGAAGGACGCATGGGGTGATCGATGCCATTTGTGCTATGTTGTCTTCTTCTATCAATTTGCAGTCCGTTTCGTCTGGTTCTACACAGAGAATAAAGAATGGGCCACGAATTTAAGGCTGTGTTTGGTTTGAAGGAAAAGTTAAAAGGGGAAGGACTTTGTACAGGTTTCCCGTCCTTTTCCTATTTTGTCCTTCAAATCAATCAGGCTGGAACAATCATAACTTCATAATACGTTTGTGATTGCGATGGCTACCAAGATCGAAATAAAACCATACCAGCCCTCTGTTTGAACAGTAATGAAGCAGGGGACCATCTTACCTTTAGGCTATATTTGGTTTGAAGGAAAAGATAAGAAAATCTATACAGGATTTGTAAAAGTTTTTCTATTTTTCTCTTCTCTTTTCTATTTTTTCCTTCAAACCAAACACAGCCTTATAAGTGTTTTTCTTAAAAAGTATTTTGAAAACTACGTACAGGTTAAAATAGGTTTAGAAATGTAATCAATATTTATTGAAAAAATAAGCTAAAAATTTTGGTTTCTTCAAAACGGACTTATTTTCTATGGATTTGATTTAAAACAAATACTTAAAAATAAGCACTCTCAAACTGGGGTATACTAACACTAACTCATCTAGGATAATTATAAATTACCAAATGGCATATGCTTATAAGAACATTGAATGGATCCAACCACCTAAACTTAGAGAGAGGACCGACCTATAACCAAACCGGAGGAACCCAGGATCAGAATTTCAAGGCCCAAAATACAGTTGGAATAGGTGCCAGCTCAGAATTGGGCAGACATTAGTGTAATGTTTATAACTCTGCAATGGAATTCAAAAATCTGCATTGAAGTTATTTGTACTTCTCCCTAACCAAAATCTGCATGACCATCATTTTCAGAGCTTTCAAATAGTTTAATATAACCTTTTGCACTGTCACGATATTTGCTTAAAATATCCAAATCCTATGCTTTTGAAGCAAATATATGAACGGTGACGAAAGCTTTATTTAATTTTTCTTAAGGTAGAAAAAAATGATGGGTGGGTCATCATATAAACAATAGTCATCAAGTTTGGTGACCAACGGAATTTGAACAGGCGTATCAATCTGATGCCACGATCCATATCCTTAGGGGGGTGTGGATCTTCACAAGGATCCATATTCCAGATAAAATTGACCTGGATCCAATTACAAAAGTTGATCAAAATCCAGGCCGGCTATACGGATGCAATTTGAAAGGACTTGGATTTGTTAAACTTTAAATGACCCAATCCAAAGTAAAATCTATTCAAATAAAATGCCAATATAAATTGGGTTTGGGCGTTTAATTGGACTCCGGATCTCCTGTTCATAAGAACTCTGCTCACGTCTATCCGTAACATACAAGTTATTGTAGGTATGGAGATCCGAACTTCTTTAATTGACCTCATATAAAGATCAGAACCCATTTTTCCATTTAGGTGTGGATTGGAAACATTTCTTGTATTTGTCATTAAGAGATGTTTTCAATATACAGTTATGATGTACGTTCAAATTCTGAGTCTGAATCTACTCTTTACACAACGCTCTTTACACCGACCTCACCAGCACATCCCACCATGTATTGGGAATAGACCTGTTCATGCCCGGACGGGCTTGAGCATGTGTTTTAGCCCGTGGGTTTGACTTCGGGCCTAAAAGCCCAAGCCCGACTATTTTACGGGCCGGGCTCGGGATTTGTTAAAAAAGCCGGGCCTGAGCCCGACCCGGCCTAACTTTTCCTAAACTACCTAACCCTAACCCTAAATACTTAAAATTTTTCTTTTCATTCTCCTTTCTCACTCTCACTCTCATAGAAGCGGCTCTCATTTCTCCCTCTCAACTCTCAAAACCGGTGAACCCAACGCACCTGCGAACTCAGTCACCGACGACCAACTCCACCAGAAGGTCCAGAACTAGTCATCTCTCTCTTTGGCGGTGATCTCTCTCTCTCTCTCTCTAGCTGGCACCGTTTTCATCTTCTTTCTTCTCATTCTCAGTTCTCTCTCTTCTTAGAACTAGGTCTTCTATCTTCTCAGTTCTCTCTCCAGCCAGCGGCCCAGCGCCACCAGAACCCAGGCACACCGTTTTCATTCTGCGAACTCAAGCATCGCCGCTCCGGCGGCTGGCACCACCAGATCTAGATCGTCTCTCTCTCTCGAGCGGTGAGCTCTCTTTCTCTCTCTCTCTCTCTAGCTAGCACTGTTGTGTGTTGTCATCTTCTATTTTCTCACTTTCTGGGTTTCTGTTCTCACTCTCAGACTCCTAGGAATCGGCAAACTCAACAGGCACCATTCTCTCAGATGACACCGGCGCTCAGACTCCCAAGTCAGGCTTCGGGCTCGGGCTCGGGCCCGGACTTCGGGCTTTTTTGAGGGTCGGGCTCGGGCCCGGACTTCGAGCTTTTTTGAGGGTCAGGCTTGGGCCCAAGTTTTAGGCTGTTGGTCGGGCCGGGCTCGGGCTCGGGCCTGAAAAGTTTATGTTAATAAAGAGAAAAAGCCCGGCCCAAGCCTGGCCCGGCCCGACCCATGAACAGGTCTAATTGGGAACATCACCCACACATGTTATTATTTCATGGGAGATGCCCCAGGGGATCAGATATACTACCCATGAGATCTTACAGTTGCGCATTACAAATACCCTCTTTATCATTCATGGGGTGGTGTTCCTAATATATACATTGATATAAGTAGCTCTCTTTGTTTTTACCAAGGTTTTTAAAGCTGAACCGTTCAGGGGTCCGGTTCTCAGGTCGAATAGTTCGACCATTCGAACCGAATGGATGGCTCATTTTGATAAAAGAAATAAAAAATTTAAAAAACAACCAAAAACCGTTGAACGGTTTGAACGATTCAACCGTCTAGATCAACAGTTTACTGACCAAATCAATGATAATTGTCCAGAAAGACAATTATAAGGTAAAACGAAACCGATCAAGTGACTGATTCTTGATTTTTCCAGTCTAGTTTTGAAAACCATGATTTTTATTAGATCATTGATGAGATTGATCAGGATATCATTTGGCATTCCTCCAAAATAGGTAGCATAGGAATAAGTGGGGCCATAACTATTGTCGTAGCAAGTCACCAAATCACTGGGTGTACGTGGTATGCATGGCCAGTGGTTTTATGCACCCTGCTGTTCTGTTTTGTCTCCTAATTTTCCTATGTGTAAATAATTAGTAATGCAAAATAGGAATAAATTCTTAATTAATTCATAAGAAATATTAACTAATTAATTATAGAAATAATTAATAAAAAGCATTAACAATTATTATTTAATTCATTATAAAATACAAAACAATACAAATGCTACTAATAACCAATTAATTAATAATTGCAATTAAGGTTGATTTTCTCACTATTTTCCCTTTTACAATAAAATTGGGGTAATGACTGTTCAGCACATGCTAAGAATTCTTAGTTTCAAAGTACAGTTGGTGTAAGTACAAACTCGGAATTGATGACAATACACAGGCAGATATTAGTGTTTTAAAGTGGGGGTATTTATTATTTTAAATTGTATAGAATTACAGTGGAATTCAGAATTGTGCAATTGTGGTACAATATACTTTTCCGAAAAAACTTCCACCCACATTTTTTTTATCATCCCTCCCATCCCATCTTTTCCCATTCCACCAAAATCTCTCGTCATAATTTCTTTCCAGCTGGGGCCTGATCCTGCCTGGATCCACCGAACTAATCAATGGTCAACCAGTGAGCAAAAGGAAGAGAAAGCAGCCACCACGTGGTTTTAGGCTTTTACCACTGGGGTCATTGCACCTATAATTTTTGATTCCCAAATGCCCCGAAAAAGCTGCCTCAGCCAATCAAGATGATGTCTCATTTTCATTGGTTTAAAACTTTGAATCAAGGTAAAAGCCAGACCAACCTTGAATATCTCAATAAACGATGTAATTAACGATATAGCTAGATCTGGTGAGATTACGAGTCAGGATAGTCTTAATACTGTAATTGCCTCCATCGTCACATCTTATATAGGAAACTCCTTGGACGAAACGAAGTTCTCATTTCACCAAAAGAACATGGCAGAAAAAGTCAACTTGTCTTCTCCTTCATCGAAGAGGTAATTATCTAATTACTGCTTTTCTTGAACTTGTTCTTCAATTATTTTTTTCTGAGATTAAATCCTCTCTGATCGTCTAGCATTCCCCCACTTCGGCTCTATTGTAAATGTGCAGTGGTCACTGGTGCCAATAAAGGGATTGGACTGGAAATATGTCGACAATTGGCCTCCAATGGGGTAATGGTGATATTAACAGCTAGAGACGAGAAGAGGGGTGGTGAAGCTGCTGAGAAACTCAAAGGATCTGGCCTGTCTAATGTAGTTTTCCATCAGCTTGACGTGATGGACACATCCAGTATCGCTTCCTTGGCAGATGTTTTGGTAGAAACTTCACTTCATGTATCTTTAGAATTAGAGACTCAGACAATTCCTGATCAGATTTTGTTATAAAATTGTCAATCGTTTTGAGATTCCTTTGATGGTTGTATATAATAAAATGGATAAATTAAGTGAAACCACAACTATTTTCAGGTCAACAATGCAGGAGTTAATGGAGTCAAAGTTTTTGATCGTGATGCTTTCATGTCCAGTCTCCTTGTCGTTGGTGGTAGTGGTGATGGTGGTGGTAGTAGTGGTGGTGTAAGTCTCTCATTGTTATTAACCCATGATTAAATTAAACATTATTTGTACTTTTTCTAAGTAAGTTGTAATTTCCTTGTGGTGGTGGTGGTGGTGAATGGTGATGCACTCAAATGAAATAACGACACAGACATACGATTTGGCAGAAGAATGCCTGAAAACAAATTATTATGGCACCAAACGAGTCACTGAAGCTCTCATTCCTCTTCTCCAGCTATCTAACTCAGCTAGAATTATCAACATTTCCTCCTCCTTCAGATCAGTTCCAAATCATCTGAAACCAGATAACTATCTTGTGGTATTCAAAACAACAGGGTCCATGTATATCTAAAAAAAAAAAAAACATAAAAACAAAAGGGTCCGTTTGATTTGTAGTTGGAATTGGAATGATCTATTCTTATAATCTGTTTATTTCAGATAGGAATCGAAATAGGAATTGAAATTAGTTGGAACAGAATTTCATTTTCTAGGAAAAGGGGTGAAATGGTCATTTTCTCGTGGGAAAATGTGATTTCACCAAAAATAGGAATGGAATTCCAATTCCACACAACTAAACAGTTAGAATCGAAATGATCCATTCTAATTCTAATTCGAGACTCTTATTCCTGCAAACCAAACGGACCCAGGCTTTTCTCATCTTGGTGACCAGAGCCAGGAATGAACCTCTGATATCCTTGGTGAATAATATATATTCTTCTTTAATTTCTTGTGTTCTCATTCTATGAATTTCAGCTTTCGTTTTATAGTCATCCGTTCTATTTTTGATATTGGGTTTTCCTCCGTGTTTCTTTCTTACGCCAGAATATCTCCAATAAAAAGGCCAAACAGGTTTTAAGCGATGTGGATAACCTTACAGAAGAGAAGGTAGATGAAGTATTGGACGAGTTTCTACGCGATTTCAAGGAAGACAGCTTAGAAACGAATGGTTGGCCTGCTAGTGGATCTGCCTATAAAGTCTCCAAGATAGCTATCAATGCCTATACAAGGATTATGGCGAAGAGGCTTCCTAATTTCAAAATAAACTGTCTGTCCTGGATATGTCAAAACCGATATGACACAGAACACTGGGGTGTTAACTGCTGATGAAGGGGCGGAAAGCCCTGTAAGTTTGGCTTTGATGCCTGACGGTGGTCCTTCTGGCTTCTTCTTTTCCGGCAGGGAAATTGCACCCTTTTGATTAAAAATGGTTAAGAACTAAGAAATCTCTCTCTTTCCGAAGCCATTAAATCTGAAACAGCTTAACTGCTTTTCCGGTCCAAATTTGTGCTTTTCCGGCACAAATGAGTCCGTTAGTGGGCCCACTTATTGAATGTGGTTGAAGTTGGAAGAATAAGTTAGTAGGTGTCTTTAGGTGTTGGGCTATGCATGGAATATAGAGCCACGTGGGCCATTTGTGAAAAGTTGTTATTAATTTATTACTTATTTATGGATCAGCTAGTAGTGAGAGTGTGTCATTATAGGTCATTTGTGTATGGGTCTAATGGGTTATGGCCTTATGGGTAGTTGTGTGAGAGTTGAAGTGTATATATACTTCCATTGTTTCTTTGAGAGGGATCAATTGAAGAATCTTACTTAAACAGTTTGGTTTTTTATTGGAGGTCCCTCGTCTCCCTTGAAGCAAATCACCGTTCTATTGGAAATGTAATAAAAAATGTTGTGTGCTTCATTAATACGCTAAAAGCCTTAAGACTAATGAAACAAAAAATATCCTATACCCCTCAATATTGAGACGGAATCAAACAGGCAAACAAAGAAGATCTTCTAGAAAAAATACTACGCCCCTCAAAGATAAAATTTTTTCTCTAGCTTGCAATCAGGGATAAACTTCCCTCTTAAGAGAGTCTCCATAAGAAAGCATTTAAAATTGAACCTCAATGCAATTCGTAAAGAATGAGTGGGGCTGTAGCCCACATCCTAGTTAACTATGCTAGTTGGAAATTACATCCCCACCCCGACAAGATTGAATCCCACCCCAACAAGGTTGAAGGAAAAGGTAATGAAACCTGATGTGGGTTAGTTTGGCCCAGCCCACTAACGCCTGCTAACGTCAGCCACATCAAGAGGAAGCCCTGTTGCATTCGTATGGAGTCAATCACATAACTATCTGGCATATCATCAGGGCTGCAGTCTGACCTTGTATGGTTCTCATTCGAGGCATTCATCTTCACCTACCACCAGCACGCTCAAGTATAAATAAGAGGTAACTGCCCCTTAAAAGGGGTTGGAACAAAGTAACTCCAACATTTACTCACTCATTTACTTCCTACACCTACATTGTCTACTTAGCATTAATTTAGCGAGATCTGGTGCATCCGAGGACTCTCTCCAGAAGCACTCTCACACTCTCCCCTGCTTGACACCTCGTACTAACTTGAGCATCGGAGCCTCCGCCTCGGGTATCCACCCCGAGGCCTCTGACACTCCCTGTCTTGCAATATCTCAGGTCACCAGGGACCTTGCCTCGACAAGCAGTCCTCGTCTACCATAGTCCTCGGAAGGAGTACTTCGCCTCAGTTTGTTGTCCTCGGCTTCAATCAACCTCTTCTGAAGCCTTGAGGTCCTTGGATAATGATCGGAACTTGAAGAGTAAATTTACCTTGTTGCCCTCGGCCAACTCGTGCGGCAACAATTGGCGACATCTGTGGGAACGTGGTTGCTAAGACGACGCCCACTCTAGGATAAACAATAATAACACTCTAGATCCAAACCCTCTTTAAGCTTGGAAATCATGGTAAGGAGAGCTAGGAACAATCTGAACCTGGTTACCATCGAACAGTTTTAGGCCGTCCTTGATTGTTTGGATCGCCTCACCCGGTGAATGGAAGAATTTTGCCCCCGAGCAGGAGGTCCCTCTCAAGGCGACCGCCCCGCTGGGGTGTTAGAGGATCAGGTCCGACATGAGAACATCGAGGTACCAGCCCTCGGCCATGGTAATCCGCTAACTAAACCATCGGAATCAGGCAATAACCACCTCCCAGACTCACCTCGAAGAAACGTCTGTCCTCCTAGCCGGAGGGAGAGTGTGCCCACTCAATCCAAAGACAGTCATCAATCTTTGGAGCAGCACCACCGCTGTTGTAGGGAGACCCCCCAGGATGATGGAGGGCAGTTCGGCTGCCCTGGAGTTCGCTCCCAAGGCGAGAGCCGATGCCATCCCACTCCACCTCCCATCTCAAACCTCAGGGACGTTCTGAATGACTGTCATGTTTGCCGAGGAGTGCGCGACCCTGCCGAGGAGCATTCGGGAGTCCGAGCCGACACCCATCAGGTCCGCGAAGACAGGAGTAGAGCCCATGCCCGTGCTAGCCCAGGGCTTGCCGAGTTGCGAGCCGAGATTGGGGCCATCAAGGACGAGCTCCACCATGTTCAGGAGAGCCGAGCTGACGCCTCAACCAGTCAAGGCAACTCTGTCGGTCGCATGGACGCCTTCACCCAGGAAATCATCTCAAAGCCTCTCCCCCCACATTTCAAGGCTCCCACGCTGGAGACGTATGACGGAAGCACTGACCCCGGTGACCACCTAGAGGGTTTCAGGGCACTCATGATATTGTACGGCTATTCCGACGTCTTGATGTGCCGGACCTTCCAGGCTACCTTTAGGGGGGGCGCTCGCCACTGCTTCTCCAGCCTTCCTCCTCTATCAATCAGCTCGTGGGAGCAGTTTACTACCCTGTTCCTTGCCCGTTTCATCAACAACAGACGGTGCCAGAAGAGCGTTGTCTCTCTAATGTCGCTCAAACAGGAACCGGGTGAAATCCTACAGTCTTACATCAACCGCTTCAAGAAAAAGGAGCTCAAAATTCGAGACCTCGACCCTATGGTCTCCATGCACACGGCCATCAATGGACTCCGCCCCGGCTCGGCTCTCAAGTGCTCGGTTGCCAAGACCCCACCAAAGACTAAACTCGAGTTCTTAAAGAAGGCCCAGAAATGCATTACGGCTGAAGAGGCTTCGGCCGGGGAAAACCAAGAAAGGGCAGCCGAGCACCACGACGGGCACCCAGAGAAGAAGAGGAAAAGTGGGGACCAGCGCCACCCCGGCAACAATAGCGGCAGAGATAGCAAGAAGCCACCAGCTCCAGTGTTGGCCTACAAGGACTACACGCCACTCAACTCCACCCGCACCCAGATATTGATGCAGATAGGGGAAGAGAAGTTCGTGAAGTGACCAAAGAAGTTGAAGCGGAACCCCAAGAGGGGGAACCTTACGGAGTACTACAAATACCATCGCGGCACTGGATACGACACCGATGACTGCTGTGATCTAAAGAATGAAATAGAGTCCCTCATTCGCTGATGACACCTCAAGCAGTTCGTCGGAGGAGAGGCCGGTGCCTCATCATCCCAACAACAGCAACAACAACAGCACCAGCAAGTGGCAGGCGTCATCGACGTCATTGCCAGGGCATGGCCTCGGGTGGAGCCTCAGCTTCAGCCCGAAAAGCCTACGCCAGGCAGCTCAACATCCAAGAGCCTGCCCCGAAGAAGCAGAAATACCCAGACACTCCGCAGAGACCGAGATGTTCACATGCCCTTGTCTTCACCGATGATGACTTAGAAGGGGTTACTGTCCCCCACGACGATGCCCTCGTGGTCGCAGCCATCATCTCCAACTTTATGGTGAAGAAGATTTTGGTGGATTATGGCTCATCAGCGGACATCATTTTCTATGACACCAATGAGAGAATGAAGCTCGCATCAGAGAGTCTCCGGCCAGCTGACACTCCTCTCGTCGGCTTCTCCGGTTGCGTCACCCGATTGGAAGGAAAGATTACCCTGCCCATCATGATAGGGACAATGCCCCACCAGGTGACTTGGATGCATGAGTTCCTAGTGGTAAAGATTGCCTCTCCCTACAATGCAATAATGGGAAGACCAACCCTTCATGCACTAGGGGCAGCCATGTCCTCTCATCACCTGGCCCTTAAGTTTCCCACTGAGTATGGCGTCAGAGTCGTTAGTGGGAACCAATAGATCGCCTACCAATGCTACGTGATGGCACTGAAGGGAAAGAATAAGGAGGCCTTATCATTGGAAGGCCTCGACCCCCAGGAAGATTCAGTGAGCCGAGGCCAACCAGCCGAGGACCTCATCTCGGTTCTCCTAGATGAGTCAGCCCTAGAAAGGACAGTCCACGTCTGGTCCAACCTCCCCCCTAAACTCCTATCTGAACTGGTAAGTTTCCTTAGAACTAACGGCGACGTCTTTGCTTGGTCTGCCGCTGACATGCCCGGAATTGACCCTTCGGTGATTACTCACAGGCTGAGTGTGGACCCGAGCTCTAAACCAGTTTGGCAAAAGAAGAGGAACTTTGCACCGGAACAATGGAAGGCTATAGGAGAGGAAGTTGACAAGCTACTCGACGCCGGATTCATCCGTGAGGTACATTATCCCAACTGGCTGTCTAATGTGGTTTTGGTAAGGAAATCTAATGGAAAATGGCGGACCTGTATTAACTTCACAGACCTTAACCGAGCCTACCCGAAGGACAGTTTTCCTTTGTTGAGGATAGACCACCTCGTCGACACCACTACAGGGTATGAACTGCTTAGCTTCATGGATGCCTTCTCCAGGTACAACCAGATCCAGATGCACCCCGACGACGAGGAGAAGACATCTTTCATCATCGAGCACGACACGTATTGCTACAAGGTAATGCCGTTCGGCCTTAAGATTGAGGAGGAATGTCAAAGCCTACGTGGACGACATGGTGTTGAAGAGCCTGAAGGCCGAAGCGCACACCTCGGACTTGGCCGAGACCTTTGATACTCAACGTAAATTCAATATGAAGCTCAATCCGAGCAAGTGTGCCTTCAGGGTGAAGCCAACCCCAGGAGCATTGAAGCCATATTAGACATGAAGCCAACCCTAGCAAGGTACAGGCCATATTAGACATGGCACCCCCTCGGTTAGTGAAGGAGATTCAGAGGCTCACTGGTAGAATAGCCACCCTCAACCGCTTCATGTCGAAGTTGGCAGACAACTGCCTTCCCTTCTTCTGCACCATCAAGAAGCTTAAAGATTTCCAATGGATGGAGGAGTGCTAGTGTCCCTTCGACGAGCTTAAGCTGTACCTCACCTCA